TCTTTTTTTGCAAAGTTGAATAATTGTAACAATTGTACAAGAAAATTTTCAATTTCGAATTGTTGTAAAGTAGCTGTTGCTAGGAAACATATGGGTGAAAGAGCCGATATAGAAACAATAACTGCTTTTGGTGAAATTTTAGTCATGATTACAAGCAATAATAAAAACTTTAATGATTTATTTACAATTTAATATTTAATTATTAATTTGCATCCATTATCAATAAAAATAAAAATGGTAATTACATCCAGAAAAACATGCTTGCTTTTCTCAGTAGACCTGCCTTAAAATACAACATAAGAAATTAAATGATCTTTATTATTATTCTTTCCAATCCGTCCAATTACATTCTGTTAAGCTTTAGATCAAGATTTTATGGGGGGTCAAGATGTTAGACACCTTATTTTTATTCACTCGATTCTGTTGGAGCGTCCACTAAATTCCGATTTCATTAATTCTCTTTATGCAGTATATATATTGCATTGAAATTGTTTAATGTACTGAATACTGGAATAGATGTGGAATGAATACATAAAGAGAAAACATATTTTTGATACGGAATGCATTAAAAAAAAACACATACTAATATGGGAAAATGCACTTTCCCGTCCTAAAAATATGGACTCAATCTAAGTTCAATATATTTTAATTATATCTAACTCATTCTTGTAAAGTGTGAATGGAAAATTTGACTAGTTGATAGTAACAGTTCTCTTAAACAATCGTTGTCATTTGTATCAATTTCAATATGCCAAATTTTTAAGTTTGTACATCGAACTTTGAGAATTTAGAGGATTTATAACAAAATATTACATTAGAAAGATATGTATTTTGATATATTATTGACAGAGATTCCTTCATTAATGACTTTTCAAGAGGACCTATACTATTCTCACAATAGATTATGTGAAGTTTATAATTGTCATAAAAAGACGAAAGAGATGGGTGGTGGTTATTTATTATTCTGAATTCAGGACTTCTACCCGAATTACATTTGAATGATTATTCGAATAAAACGAATAAAACAAAACAAATGATTTGAATAATTTCCGTTAGATGTTGGAATCGTCCAAAAAATCCTTAGTCGATTACTAGGTGTCAAAATTTCTTTAGTCGACTAAAAATTTTTTTTTTTAATAATAATATTTCGTTTTTTTTTTTAATTTGTAAATTACGAATAGTGTTGCAAGTCGACTGGATTTTTTTCTAGTCGCGACTAGGTTTCAGTCGCGACTAGTTTCAATCATGACTAGATTTCAGTCACGATATTGATACAAACATCAATTAGATGCAATTATGGCTTAATCAAAATGCTAATAATTTTTTCTTCAAAAAAATTTTATTAAATTAATAAATATTAATAATTTATTTTATTTACAATTCTTCTGAAATATTTTTGTAAATTTTCTTTCAAAAAAATGACATTTTTAACTGTTGACGGATTTAACCGATTTCTTTTATTTGTAATTAAATTTCCGTTCTGAAGGAATATATGATGACAGTATTCCTAATTATTTTCTGGATAAATTTGATAACCTTGGAAAAGTTGTTTGTTGCATTTATTAGTATTAAAAATTATTTTTATTGTTACTATAAAATAACTTGTATAGTATGCACACACTTCTATTATAGACCGCGAATTACAGTAAAAATATTAATATTGAAATCTAGTCGTGTAGTCATGACTGAAACCTAGTCGAAACTACGACTAGTCGACTGGTAACACTAATTACGAATTTATTTCCATTTGAATCTTTCAATTTTTCAAAATACTTCCACACAAAACCATGTGTTACGATTCGTTTTTTAAAGGTATTCTGGAACCACCGCTTAAATCATTGGAACTCGAAGTCAATGAACTATTGGACCTTGTATTGGAAATGTTTATTCGTTCAAATGTAAAATTATCATCAACAACACCACCATTATTGTCGTCATCATCATATTGATGGCATTGATATTCTTCCGCATAGAAATTTTCCATTTTGAATGATAAACCACAAAAATCGTTATAATAATATTAGCATAATATCAGTGTTAGTATTTTAATAGTATTACTGTATTTGTAGTCGACTATTAGTTGGTCAAAAAAAAGTTAATTTGATTAAAATAGTCGACTATTACTATTTTAGTCGATTCCAACCTCTAGTTTCCGTAATTGGAGGTTTTTCCTTGTAGTGATAATAATAGAAATAATTGGGTTTTTTTTAGTAGCGATAAAAATAACTTTGTGTGAAACGATTTCCATTATTCAAATAAGAAATTGTATTACGAATGGCTTATTTCAATTGATATATTTAATATAGTGTTTATTTCCTGGAATGTCAAGGATCTACTGTTGTTATTTTTAGATGCATTGTATATTATTTATTTATGATTAAATATAATGAATGTATGAATTTTTTTTACCAAAAAAAATTAAAAAGAATTTAAGTTTAATATAATGAATGCATTATGTGTTAAATAAAAATCATTTTGCTGTAATTAATATTAAATTAAATGTGTGAAATTGTTATTATTATATTTACATTTATATTGTCTCTATTAAACAACAAAATCTATGATGCTTGTTTTAATTAGCTAATAAATAATATTAATTCTAAATTTTAAATCTAATTTTTACTATTTACATATTATATTGATAAATTAATCAAAATATAATAAAATTGTTTTTTTAAAAAAAGTAAGTAATAATAATAAATAGAATCAATTATCTTGCACCCCATGCCCATTTTGAAGGAATTTTGAATAAAATTTTCTTTTCTTCTAATCTTGAAGGGTTTGTTTCTGATTGAAGGGGCGGAGAATACGTGAAGTTTCTAGGTGATGGTGGAGGTATGGTGGAGTTTGTGGTGCTTGTGGCTATGATAGATTTTTTAGTTGATGACAATTTCAATGATTGTATTAAAGTTGGTTTATGCTTTGTTATTGACATCAGCAACCTGTGAACTGTTGATTCTTGTTGATAAAAGAAACTAGGTGAACATTCGAATGATAAAGGATTCATTATACGATCACCACCGCGTGATCTTGATCTGTTTACTCCGTTACTGTCGTTGTCTTTGGTTGAATAAGTGAATTTGTATGGAACTTTAAGATGATTTGAACCGTTACCGATTCTATAAACATTTTGAATTTTTTGGAAAGTTTTATTTCTTGATTTTATCGACAATTGACATGATTTTTGTAATAAATTAACATAAGCTTGTAACTTCTCGTCTTCTTTGTTGTTGTTGTTGTTGACATTATCGTTATAAGTAACTTTCCATAATGTAGGTTTGCGTAAGACTGTTGAATGATAAAATTTATTATTCTGCGATTCATTATTGTCTTGGCCGTTTGTTGTAGGCTTGAAAATGAAATTTCCATTCTGTTGATTTATACAGTCAAAAATAAAATTTACGTTGAATCTCCATCGTTGTTCTTGTTCAAAATGAAGAGTTAAACCAATCTTGCGCTCTTCAAATTTTTTCTCTAAAGCAATTTCAGCCAAGATTTTAAACTTTTGACAAACATTGCATAAATTTATTAATGTTTCGATATCAAGGTTTGAAAATATTATTAATAATAACTCATTTGGGAAATTAGAAAGTGATGAATGTGAAAAAATGTTGTTAATGGATTGCATGTTTGTAATGTATTGTATTATATTAAAACGATGTAAATAAAAAATAAATTTTATTCTTGACCAGCAAAAAATTAATTATCAAGGTAGGTTTTTATAAATTAATAATTTTTTTTTATAATATAAAAATTTGTTTCTTGATGAATTTTCACAACATTTTTAAAATTCCTCCCATCCTTTTTATAATGGATATCAAATATTAAAAAGGCTAATTGTATTTTTGTTTGTTTGTAAATAACAAAGCGAGAAAATCAATGGAAAAATATTTATATTCATATTTGGCATGCGTATACGGCACATTCCCCAATTTGATAAATTCAATAAGTTAAAAAAATATACTAATTGGTGGTTGGTGCACCGTTCACTTCGGTTTTTGTATGTCTAAATAAATGATTTTTACAATCACATTGATGGTCCATTTTACAAATTAGAATATACATGTATTGTTGTTGCGTTTGTCTATATTGAAATATCAATAAATAAAATATTTTTTTTGGTGAATTGGTTAATTAGTTGTGGGGGTGGCGGTAAATAGATAAATTTTCAGTGTAATATATATATTGATATATGTTCTAGAAGGCGATTACTGGTCGGTCATTTGTCCCCGTAAACTTTTATTTTGTGACGCCGTTAAAAAAACAAATCGTTTTAACAAGCAATATTTAGCAAAAAACTAACAATTAAACATTATTTTTTTTTAAAAAAGATACTTTTGTTATTATTATTCTAACATCTGTGTGTCTTTATAATTTTAAAATTAATTTAATTAATAATTAATAATTAATTGATTTATATTTAATTGGCGACAATATTAAAACCTTTCTTGATGTTGACTTTAAAAAGTTAGTGAGAAAAAAAATCAAATTTTTCCCGCCCACAAAAAAGTAAATATTATTGTTACACTCGCTCGAAATTCAAATCTAATTTTAGATTGCTGAATTGGGAGTTTTTAGATGTTACACGATCACACAATGCATGCTGTGGCACGAGGATCATTAAGAGCAAAAAAATCTTGTACAAAATGGCCTAATTTATGAAAAATAAAATACTAAATATAGTGATGCCAAACTTTCATAACAATGATATTCTTTGACGTCACAATATTATAAAATCAACTTTGAAAACCATCAAAATAAGCAAGTTGATGATCATTTGACAGTCGAGGAGTCTTGTCACTATCGTTATCGCGTTATCCTACAACGTTATTTGTTATTTGTATTTTAATTTAAACGAAAGGTAAAAAAAGAAAAATTTCACCATTTAAAAAACGATTTATTGTAATACTAATACTATTACCATATGTATAACAGTATTGTGCAACGCAATTGGAATGTTCCCAATGTGGATCTTCAATTGATACTGACCAATAAAATTCGTGTATGGCACTGTGATCGAAATTCATTGGTTAACTTCATCGGAACCACATTTGGAACGTTTCAATGAAAATCTACTGATTCCATAAATGGTTATATAGTCATAATATGAAAGATATTGTTATATTGTTTTTTTGTTAGATAATAAATGAAGTAGGCGGGAGTAATCTATTCTTTAAGAAACCAATTTTTTAATCGAATTGATCATATACCAAAAATGGTAATTATTTTCACATTTAAATTTTACGAATTATTCTATATATCTTTTCAACAAAGGAATTAAAGTACGAATAAACCTGATTTTTTTTTTTGTGGTGGTAACGTATTTCTCTTTAAAAAGTCTCAATCGATTGATTCACTTTAACAATAAATTAGTCATATGAATTATTAGTATCTTCAAAAGAGCCCAGTCGATTTCTTTAACAGCAACTAACTTTTAGATGACCAACAATAAAGATCTTAGAACATCTTTCCATTTTCGATTTTTTTTCTTGAACAGAAAAATTTGGGGGTGCGAAAGCATTGCAATTGCATAGCAGGCGAGGAAAGGGAGCAAATCATTCTTTAAGGAATCGAATATTTCCCGCATAACTCAAAATTTGGAACAAATTTTTTAAACCGAGATGTAACAGTGAGTTTAGTGAAACACAAAGTAGCATTATGGCGCGACGATATTCTTTGAATGGTGCATTGATCGAATAGTCGTAATAAATTACTACGAAAACATATTAATATAAATAGACCTGCTACTTCCACCTGTGGGCTAAAAAATTGCAAAAAAACGGTGCGTCGATTTTGCTTTTTACGTTGCATTCGAATTCGAGAGTCGTGGCACGTAGTGCTGAAACGGCATTCTACAATTTGTGAGAGTTGAGGCATATTCTACATTTTTGTTTATTCGTTGAGCAAAAAATTTATTTATTTTATTAATTAAAGAGTCGTTACACAAATCTAATGTCATTAATAAAGATTGAAAAGCCCAAACTCATTTGAGCTTTTTTCTTGAAGGATGGACATAATACATGATCAATGAAAGCGACGAAAGGAGATGATTGAATATAAATGATTGATTCAGGTGTAATGAAAAAAATGATAGTAATAAAGAAAATATAACGTTTAAGATTCGATGCATCCACAAAAACAACATATTATTTATGACATTGTCACCTGTTTCTCAAGCAATCAAAATTAAAAGATGAAATGTCTAACAACTCCCGGGAAGAGAAGCTCGACTCAACGCAACAGAATTTTGTGAAATACAGTACAGATTAGTATTGGCCAATCAAAATTCCGTACCCAAAAATTTGTTTTTTATCAATTTAAAATTGGAAAAATTGAAAATTTTACAACAGAAACTATTATTATTGAAATAACATTTTATTAGATCTGATAAATTATTCATTGGTTCATATGCATAATATCAATCAAGGCTTGTACATTTCTTTTAGACTTTTTGATTTAAGAAATTTAATCTTTATATTAATTTACGACATTGACATCTACTCTCAGACAGTCAAATGTTTAACGACTTCCAGGAAGAGAAGCTCAACTCAATGCAACAGGCTTTGTGAAATACGGATTAGTATTGGCCAATCAGAATTCTGTACCCAAGTAAGCCATTCAAGATTTAAGAAAAAAACTATTTTTATTCTTCCTATCGATACATTGGAAGAATTTTTTAAACAAAGGTTTAACAAAAAATCCGATTAGATTGAGATTTGATTTAATTTGATTTGAATAATAAATAAATTCCTCAGAAATTAAATATTTGATTCGTACAACCTTGAATATTGGATATTCATAATTATTCAGATACTTGTATATTTATTTTGAATATTCACAATTCGTTTATTTTTATTACTTGTCTAAATTCAAAGGAAATGTCTTCTAAAAAATTTTTTTTCTTTCGTCAGGACTGATTATATCGACAAGAGGATTGATTTCACAGCTTATTTTCACAAAAATCCAATTATATTGATATACTTAACAATCATATAATATAGAGTTTATATGATATATATATATCTTGATTACCACATACTATACAAGGACCAAAATTTTTTCGGCTTACACCTTTATTCATTTTATTAAAGATAAATAATAGTTGGAAAGAAACGTTATTTATTTACTATTGCTTGAATTATCTAATATTAGTTTTATTTTTTATGTTACGCGTCAAGTTAAAATGTAGATCATCCCAAAATTTGGATGACAAATTTAGAACAACTTTGTTATTAATAAAAATCAAAATCCAATTCCGCTCAGGAAAGAACAAAAATAGCAGAACATTTGTGCAAATTTTGAGGTGGTGTTATATAGTCTATACAGCGCCACTTTTCTAAGTGGTACTTTTTCGAAAAAAAGTTTTTTACTAATTAAATAAAATACAATGTAGGATAAAAAAAGATTAATCGGAAATCTAACCATTTTGTTATAACACGTCGCTATTCCCAACTAAGTATTTTTTTTCACGTCGTTGATGGTATCCTATATCCATATGGTTCAGCCCTTTGGCCGATGTTTGGATTAGAGTGTTATGGATAAATCACTATGGCTTGTTACGTGTTTGTAATGGCTCTTAGTGCCTCAGCCTGAGCCTCTTTACCAGAATATTATATTGCCATTTGTCATTACAATAACTTATGTTTTCCAGCAGATCATTCTATTAAAATTAAGTTAGTTAACATTACTAACAGTAAACCTCTTTTTAGGCATGGAATTTGTTTATTATACAGATACCCCTATCTATATACCTACCTCTAATCCTAAGAATTTGAGTGATATCCGGGATGCATTTTCAAGAACGTTAAAGAAGGTTATTGATTCCTCCATCATACAAGTTGGGATAAAGAAACGAGCAAAAAAAATATTCGATAATACCAGCGATACTTTTCAAAGGAGAAAGATTGATGAATTTTTTGTGGAGTTGGACAAGGAATTTGAGGCGGTAAGTAATTGTGGTTTTGCATAATTAATATAGCTTGTATATCTATTTGAAGCAAAACCAACGAAATCTTGAGAGGTCTTTTGGTAGAATAGTTTTGAATTAATAAAAAAATTCTGGTGATTTAAATATAAGAAAGTTCATGAAAAGTAAGATCAACATTTTTATTCTGTCACACTCCAAGTTTGTGTGCTAACATTAAAATCTGTCAAATTTCTTGATATATATCATCTATGGCAAATCAACTTTTATCAAAGTAATTGTGTTTTAGGAAAAAGACGAGATGATGATTATGATGAACGAACAATAAAGAGGCAATATCAAGTTGGAAATACTATGCTACCTCCGCCTATTTTCATCGAATCTGAATAATCTGCTCATTGTGGATGAGATTGTAAAAATTGATGACATTGATGATCTGCACTTTGAGGATGGGGACCAAATAAACGATTATAAAGTAGGAGGTATCAACGTATCAAAATTATTTCGAATATATCAAAATAAGTCAATATGGATTTCAAAGAACGGAGGTTTATTTGTTGAGTCAAACGTCCATGAAATACTGTCGCTTTCATCCATTTTTTTAATTTCACCAAATTCTTATTCAATAACAATGATTGAATATTCACATTTTCTTGATGAATGAATACACTGTAAAATAATGCCATAACGTTAAATTCAGAAATGCCATCAAGAGGCGACAAAGATTTCACGTGAATGTGCTACAGGTTGGTTTTTTATACAGAACTTTCAAATGATCGAAATTTGGGAGAAAACTTGGGTTCTATTATTTTAAAATACTTGGAAACGTTAACCATGGAGAAAATTAGAAATGAATCTAGCGAAATAACATTACTAACAAATTATATAGATAATATTATGAAGGATACATTACACATTCCAGACAAACACGTTGTCCAATGGCCAAATACTGCTTTGAATGAAAGTAGAACAAGAAATATTGAAGGTAGAACTAAGCAGCCCAAATTTCATGGTATCATTTCTTCATCAATTACAAACAGATTCTGCTATATTTATTGGTGAAGTTGGTGCATCTTCACAAAAAAAAAATGTGTAAAGAACTGCAAAGATCTTATTCGATTTGGTGTTTTCATGAAAGATTGCATAGATTCAGCAATTGACAAAGGCACTGATATTAATGTATTAGGATTCCAATGTGTTGGTAAGAAAATAAATCAATTTTTTTTCCTCATGAAATTTTTTTAGTCACCTTTTGCTAGTTTGTAGATCATACAATTGACTTTTATATGACAGACCTTATTCTAGGATTATATTTCATGATTCATATTGGACAAGTTTCAATTCCAGCTTCAGTAAAAAAAATGGCATCTTTTGTTGATGAGATAGTAACTCTTTTGACAATTTCAAAAATCCTTTGATACTTTATATGCTAAGCTCTGTAGATCAAGTTCACCATCAGCAAAAACAATGTTCAAACGGGATAGCTTTGGCACACCTAAGTTTAACCAGCTTGTTAGCAAGACACATAACTGTTTCAGAAACTGTCCATTTTCATACAGACGGTTTGATAATAATTAATAAATAATCTGATTATATTTTCCATGCAAAAAAAAAAAAAATACAAAGAATAATAAAAATTATTCAGTGTCACAACTCTCATCACCGTCGTCGTTTACCACTGTTTC